AATCCGCTTTATTTTAATATATTTTCTCCTCCCCAGTTTATTTTATTTTTTTCAAATCTCAAAATGGTTGTCTTCTTGCCAAATATGTTTGATAAAATTGTGAAGAACCTTCTCACTGTAATTATCTGTCTAATATTGTGCATATAAGCAGCATTGTTTCCATCCCCCTCAGGCACAAAAAAAAAAAAAAAAAAAAGCAGCTTTTAGGCTGTTTTTGAGTTGAGTTTTGTGTTTTCAGGTTTCAAATGATCAACAATCCTTCAAATAATATCAGTTTCCACATGTCGTAAATTTTTGGAAAGCTTAAAATCTTCACATTCAGAATCTCAAAATTCCTTTCGGCAGACTTGTTCTATCTTTTCCCATACAATGTACTGCATCTCCATAGAACCTAACCCAGACAAATCTGTTGTTTCTTCAGGCCTTTTCTATTGTGTCAGCCTTATTTACTATTCACAGCAGGAGAGTTGTGAAAGAACACAGGGAAGAACAGTCCTATACACCCGAATAATATCACGGTCACACAACCCCGTCTGTTTAAAATTGACAGCAGTCATACAAGATGCATGCGGAAAGAGGAGGCAGAGAGAGGTCAAAACGTGTATGTGTGTCTGCGAAATGGTTCTTTGAAGAGAACTGCACTAAACACGCGCTCTGGGCTGGGACTTGTGTGGGGAGGCACTTTCTGTTTTGCTTGGCTATAGCACTCTCAAGGAATATTAAAATTTATGGACCGTGAGGGGGGCAAAGGCACACACACACACACACACACATGGATAAACAAGACTCGTGTGCTTAAAATGCTTGAAAACACAAAGTTTGAAATTGCAGTATAATTCCAACAGATGCTTGGTACCCGCTCAAGTAACTGGAGGTGATGCGATGAGAGGAAATGCCATTAAACCGTTGCCTCTTCTTGAAAATACAGCTTGTTGCCGCGCCGAATACCTAGAAAGGCACTTTTTGGAGTTTAACTTACTCAGTCAAAGGCAGTGGGCTGTAAAAGTGGAGTAATGTCAGTAATTAGAGAAATTACCACTTTTCTGACACTTGCATAAAATAGTGCTTGCATGTAAACATATGCAACTAAATCAATCCTATAGTCGAGCAGAGGGAAAAGCTAAAATAGAAATGGAAAAATGCACTAAATAAGTCTTATTGCCGCGGCTAGAGGCGGTTCTGGGAGTGTCTTATCTGCAAATTTCTTAAAACTCAGTTAACTTTTAACTGCCGTTCTTATAAGAACGGCAGTTAAAATAATCAACTATAATTCTTAGAAGGCCCTATATAAATACACATTTGAATATTTTTTAGATTTGTAACCGGAGACCTTGGCAGTTCTCGTGATCTCCGATAAGAATAAAACAACCTGTTATATGTTATTATTCAAGAAAATATATTATTTTCAATATATTAAAACATTTATCAACAATCACAAGACAAGGCAGGCGAATCTTCCACATATCACATAAAAAAAGGTGAAGTAAAAAGTAAAACCAGGGGGAGGGGCTAGGTGGCAGTAGTCAGAGGACTGAGGAGAGAGCGATGGTGGCACACGTACAGTGTATATTAGTGTATAAATACCACAACATGCATGAGTTGTGGTAAAAACAAATTTGTGTGTGTGTAAATGGCAAGTGGCAACACCAACCAACCCGAATTGCAGAGCACAGGGACTTGCCTTCTGTTGGCGCCCAGAGTCAGAACTAAAAATGGGGAAGCTGCATTTCAGTCGTATGCAGCTAGAAAATGGAACAGTCTTCTTGATCATGTGAGACTGGCTCCTTCTCTGACATTGTTCAAATCCAGGTTAAAAACAGTTTTGTTTAGCTCTGCATACAACTGAGGGATTGTATCACTCAATAAATCTCCTTTAATTGATTGACTGCGGAACTTTCCGCAGTCAACCATTGGTTTTGTATTTCTTTATTCCGTCATTTTTTTTGACACGTTTCACAGCTTTCACATTTTCAACAATTTCCACAAGTTATACATCAAAACGTTCCACATGTTTGGGAGATTATTGCTATTACTTTTGGGACTTCAGCGATTTCCGGTTTTTCCGCAATCGGACAAAAATCTGCATTGAGAATTCTGCAATGCATTTTAATAGGCCCATGCATTTTAATAGGACTTCAGCTCTTTCAGACATTTCTACAGTTTCAATGATTCAACAGTTTCAAGGATTCAACAGTTTCAAGGATTTCAGCAGTTTCAAGATTTCAAGAGTTTCAAGGACTTCAACAGTTTCAAGGACTTCAGCAGTTTCAAGGACTTCAGCAGTTTCAAGGACTTCAGCAGTTTCAAGGACTTCAGTGTAATCATGCAACCTAATAGGGATTTTTCCATGTAAACCAGTATAATGCAACTTAATAGGGATTTTTCCATGTAAACCAGTATAATGCAACTTAATAGGGTTTTTTCATGTAAACCAGTATAATGCAACTTAATAGGGTTTTTTCATGTAAACCAGTATAATGCAACTTAATAGGGTTTTTTTTCATGTAAACCAGTATAATGCAACTTAATGGGGATTTTTCCATGTAAACCAGTATAATGCAACTTAATAGGGGTTTTTACATGTAAACCAGTATAATGCAACTTAATAGGGTTTTTTCCATGTAAACCAGTATAATGCAACTTAATAGGGTTTTTTCCATGTAAACCAGTACAATGCAACTTAATAGGGATTTTTCCATGTAAACCAGTATAATGCAACTTAATGGGGATTTTTCCATGTAAACCAGTATAATGCAACTTAATGGGGATTTTTCCATGTAAACCAGTATTATGCAACTTAATAGGGATTTTTCCATGTAAACCAGTATAATGCAACTTAATAGGGATTTTTCCATGTAAACCAGTATAATGCAACTTAATGGGGATTTTTCCATGTAAACCAGTATTATGCAACTTAATAGGATTTTTCCATGTAAACCAGTATAATGCAACTTAATAGGGTTTTTTTCATGTAAACCAGTATAATGCAACTTAATAGGGTTTTTACATGTAAACCAGTATAATGGAACTTAATAGGGGTTTTTACATGTAAACCAGTATAATGGAACTTAATAGGGGTTTTTACATGTAAACCAGTATAATGCAACTTAATAAGGATTTTTACATGTAAACCACTATAATGTAACCTAATAGGGGTTTTTACATGTAAACCAGTATAAAGCAACTTAATAGGGATTTGTACATGTAAACCAGTATAATGCAACCTAATAGGGATTTTTCCATGTAAACCAGTATAATGCAACTTAATAGGGATTTTTCCATGTAAACCAGTATAATGCAACTTAATAGGGATTTTTCCATGTAAACCAGTATAATGCAACTTAATAGGGATTTTTCCATGTAAACCAGTATAATGCAACTTAATAGGGATTTTTCCATGTAAACCAGTATAATGCAACTTAATAGGGATTTTTCCATGTAAACCAGTATAATGCAACTTAATAGGGGTTTTTACATGTAAACCAGTATAATGCAACTTAATAGGGTTTTTTTCATGTAAACCAGTATAATGCAACTTAATAGGGATTTTTCCATGTAAACCAGTACAATGCAACTTAATAGGGATTTTTCCATGTAAACCAGTATAATGCAACTTAATAGGGTTTTTTTCATGTAAACCAGTATAATGCAACTTAATAGGGATTTTTCCATGTAAACCAGTATAATGCAACTTAATAGGGTTTTTTACATGTAAACCAGTATAATGCAACTTAATGGGGATTTTTCCATGTAAACCAGTATTATGCAACTTAATAGGGATTTTTCCATGTAAACCAGTATAATGCAACTTAATAGGGATTTTTCCATGTAAACCAGTATAATGCAACTTAATGGGGTTTTTTTCATGTAAACCAGTATAATGCAACTTAATGGGGATTTTTCCATGTAAACCAGTATTATGCAACTTAATAGGGATTTTTCCATGTAAACCAGTATAATGCAACTTAATAGGGTTTTTTTCATGTAAACCAGTATAATGCAACTTAATAGGGTTTTTACATGTAAACCAGTATAAATGGAACTTAATAGGGGTTTTTACATGTAAACCAGTATAATGCAACTTAATAAGGATTTTTACATGTAAACCACTATAATGTAACCTAATAGGGGTTTTTTACATGTAAACCAGTATAAAGCAACTTAATAGGGATTTGTACATGTAAACCAGTATAATGCAACCTAATAGGGATTTTTCCATGTAAACCAGTATAATGCAACTTAATAGAGATTTTTCCATGTAAACCAGTATAATGCAACTTAATAGGGATTTTTCCATGTAAACCAGTATAATGCAACCTAATAGGGATTTTTCCATGTAAACCAGTATAATGCAACCTAATAGGGATTTTTCCATGTAAACCAGTATAATGCAACCTAATAGGTTGCATTATACCACCAGACCAAGACCCAAACGAAGACTCAGACCACCACCAGATAATGACCACAGACCAGGTTTCCTTAGTTACAGGAACCAAATTGTTTCAGCGGTGAGGGGATTTTTCAGTTTCAAGGACACTTTCAATACATTCAGTAGTTTCAAGGATTTCAACTGTTTAAGAATTTAACCAGTTTCAAGGATATCAGGAGGTTCAAGGATTTCAGGAGTTTCCACACTTTCAACAGTTTCCAGGTTTAAAAAAGTTTCAAGGATTTCAGGAGTTTCAATGTTTCAACAGTTTCAAGGATTTCAGGAGTTTAAAGGTTTCAACAATTTCAAGGACTTCAGGAGTTTCAAATATCTATCAAGTATTTTAACAGTTTCAAGGCCTTTTAAAGGATTTCAAGGATTTTTTTTAGCAGATTTCCACATTAGATCTGTTCCGCAGTCAATCGCAATGGCTTCAGCCATTGCAAGTTTCTAGTTACTTATGATTTTAATTCCCTTTATTGTTTCTATCTTGTTTTGTTAAGGACTTTTAGTTGCTTTGTGTG